GCGTGTTGAACAGTCTCGGGCCTCAGATGTTGATAGAGTTCTCTCTCAGAGTACCTGTTGCACCTCTGCTTTTCAACGGGGGTATTCTGCACATCCTGCCATGTTTTCTGGTCTCATGTGGTGTTATTTCTGTGTGCAGGTTTGGGACCAGCCCCTCAATTATTTTCCACGTGTAAATTATTATGTATCTCTCCAGCCTGCGCTCAAGGGAGTACAGATTTAGGCTCTTTAGTCGGTCCCAGTAATTTAGATGTTTTACTGAGTGGATTCTAGCAGTAAAGGATCTCTGCACGCTCTCCAGGTCAGCAATTTCTCCAGCTTTGAAAGGGGCTGTCATTGTGCAGCAGTACTCCACTCAAGAGAGCACAAGCGTTTTGAAAAGTATCATCATCGGTATAGCATCTCTAGTGTGAAAAGTTCTTGTTATCCATCCTGTCATTTTTCTTGCAGTTGTGACGGCTACTTTACTGTGTTCTTTAAAGGTAAGGTCTTCCGACATGAGTACACCCAGATCCTTTACATTGCCTTTTCGTTCTATGTTAAGATTTGCCTGAGTTTTGTACGTGGTTTCTGTTTTTATATTTTCAATTTTTCCGTAGCGCATGAGCTGGAACTTATCCTCGTTAAACACCATATTATTTTCTGTAGCCCATAGAAAGACCTGATCTACATCTGATTGGAGGTTTGCCGTGTCCTCTATGTTGCCAACTCTCATGAAAATTCTAGTGTCATCTGCAAAGGATGATACAGTGCTATAGGTTGTGTTCTTGTCTATGTCCGATATGAGGATGAGAAAAAGTACTGGAGCAAGCACAGTACCCTGGGGGACTGAGCTCTTCACGGTTGATGGGCTGGATTTTATTTTGTTGACTATTACACATTGGGTTCTGTTAGTCATGAAATTGTAGATCCATCTGCCTATTTTCCCGGTAATTCCTTTTGAACGCATTTTATGTGCAATAACACCATGGTCACATTTATCAAAAGCTTTTGCAAAATCTGTGTAAATTACATCAGCGTTTTGTTTGTCTTCCATAGCATCTAATGCCATATCATAGTGGTCCAGCAACTGCGACAGGCAAGAGCGCCCTGTTCTGAAACCATGTTGTCCGGGATTATGGAGATGCTGTGATTCCATGTATTTTGTGATCTTACTTCTTAGCACTCTCTCAAAAATTTTTATGATGTGCGATGTTAGTGCTATCGGTCTGTAATTTTTTGCCTCTGCCTTATTTCCTCCTTTATGGAGTGGTGCTATCTCTGCTGTTTTTAGTATGTCAGGGATAACGCCAGTATCTAGGCTTTGTCTCCACAGAATGTGAAGGGCCTGCGATAGTGGTTTTTTACAGTTCTTGATGAATATGGAGTTCCAAGAATCCGGGCCTGGTGCAGAGTGCATAGGCATACTGTTTATGGCTTCTTCAAAATCTAGTGGGGATAGGGCGACGTCTGATATATGATTTGATGTTGGTATCATATCCATGAAAAATTCATTTGGGTTATCAATCTTTAGTGCATTTAATGGCTCGCTGAAAACAGAGTCGTACTGCTTCCTCAGTAACTCGCTCATTTCTTTGTTGTCATCGGTGAAATTTCCATCTCCCTTTCGCAGGGGCCCGATACTAGATGTGGTTTTTGATCTTGATTTTGCATAGGAGAAAAAATATTTCGGATTTCTCTCTATTTCACTGATGGCCTTTTACTCTCTTTGCCTCTCCTGGGTTTTGTATGATTCTTGTAGCTTGAGTTCAATTGTTTCTATTTCTCTACCTAACCTTCTTCGCCGTTCTTGAGATAGGGTGCGACTCTCAAGTTGTTCCGCGATTCGTTTTCTTCGCCTATATAGGGAACGACGTTTCCGTTCCAATCTGCATCTCTTCCTCTTTTTTCTTAGGGGTATGCGGTTTGAACATATTTCTAGTGCTACTGAGCTTATTTTTTCCAGGCACTGGTTCAGGTTTGCATTTCCTAGCTGTTCTTCCCAGTTTATTTCTGTGAAGTCCTGGTTTATTTGCTCCCAGTTTATCCGTTTATTATTGAAGTTGAATTTGCTGAAATCTCCTCCACCGGGAATCTGGACTGGTTTTGAAGGTCCATTTCCCATGATTGTCAGAACTTCAATTAAGTTGTGATCTGAGTAACAAATATTTGTAATCATTATGTTCCTGATCAACTCATCATTATTAGTGAAAATGAGGTTCAGCGTGTTCTCCTTCCCAGTTGGTTCTACTATTTGCTGGTTTAAGGCAAACCTATCGCACATCCGTAGCAGGTCATTTGCATGTGCCTGTTCATTTAGGCTACTTCCTGGTATTCTTTCTGATATTTCTGTATTAGCCAGGTGCTTCCATTTCAGGTGCCGTAGGTTGAAGTCCCCAAGCAGGATGATGTTCGGAGCTGGATTTGTAGGTTTTCCAAGCAGTGCTCTATTTTCATTAGTTGGTCTTTAAACTGCTGAGGGTTTGCCTCCAATGACTTATATACAAGGACAACAACTAAATTTAGGATCTCTATTTTGACTATCAGCACTTCCACCATATCATTTGAGGTGTTTAGCAGCTCAGTACAGATGAGTGTGTCTTTGATGTAGAGGCTGACCCCACCCTGAAGCCGGTGTTTCCTATCACATCTGAAGAGATTGTATTCTGAGATCCATATTTCACCATCAAGGTAGTCCTTTGTGTGAGTTTCCGTTAGGGCTGCAAACACTGCATTTGCCTCATGAAGGAGACCATCTATAAAGTGAACTTTGTTGGATTTGCGTGTTTTTATACCCTGGATGTTGGCAAATATAAATGATGTTATCGTGTTAGTGGAAGTGCTGGATGCTTTAATTGGTGTTAATATCTGAAGCTCTGGTAAGGAGGCCACTGTGTTTGCGTCCTCTCTAGCATTTGACCGAGTTGGTGGTAGAGTCTGGTCATTTTCAGCCATTCTTCTCCTCCTCCTCTTGCTAAAAAATTATCCCGGTCGATGGAGTAGTGGCTGTTTTCATAGTGGTAGTCTGTCGGTTTTATTCGCCTGGTACCTCTTATATGAAAAGCTGGACATTCAGCATTGAAGCACTCTTTCCTGTCCAAAGAGTTCTTGCAAATTTCTGGGTGAAAGAATTCACAGCTTTTGGTACATTTACCTGTATTGAGGAGGTTTCTGCACTTTCTAGGGTGATCGTGTGTACATGTTCCATTTATTCTTCCCGATTCCCCATGCTTACAGGTAGCCCATCTGTAATACCAACAGATTTTGGGGCCTTGTTTTGTTTGTGTCCCTCTGCCAGGGACCGCACTCTACTGCAGCGCCCCCGACACTGTGCCCTGCTCCGGTGCCTGTGACACTGTGCCCTGCTCCGGGGCCTGTGACACCGCGCTCTGCTCCGGTGCCTGTGACACCACGCTCTGCTCCGGGGCCTGTGACACCGCGTTCTGCTCCGGGGCCTGTGACACCGCGCTCTGCTCCGGGGCCTGTGACACCGCGCTCTGCTCCGGGGCCTGTGACACCGCGCTCTGCTCAGGTGCCTGTGACACCGCGCACTGCTCAGGGGTCCCCGACTCCGTGCCCTGCTCAGGCATCCCCGACTCCGCGCCCTGCTCAGGCATCCCCGACTCCGCGCCCTGCTCAGGCATCCCCGACTCCGCGCCCTGCTCAGGCGCCGCTGCCACCGAGCTCTGTGTCGCATCTGGTTGTACCTTGGTGTCATGTACAGTTTGTTTGAAGACATTAGAAATTGCTATGCAGGCATTAATTAGTAATTCTCTGTTTTCGGCGGGAGTTTTATCCAGGATTTCCATCAATTTCAAAAAAGTTACATCATCCTTTTTCATCATCACTGGGACCATTTCTCCTTGAATTGTTAGTCATGTTGGCACATTTTTTGTGTATGGCTGCTGAACAGAGTTGGCATTGAAAGCTCTGTTGGTAATCTACCTTCATGTTGCATTCTATGCACGTTTTTATCAAAGCCATTTTTTGAACACTTCTGTTCAGTGGTGATGGTCTTACAAGGTGGGGTGTTGACCGGTGGGGGAGTTGACCGCGGGTGCTGGCCGTGGGAGCTGGCCGTGGGTGTTGACCGTGGGTGTTTACCAACTTGAGATAGGCCTGGAAGAGGCTGTATGGACGGCCAGTGTTGCTACCACGTGTCGCACTCTTAATTTGTTTTGTTCACTTGTTAGGTTACATTACTTGCATTTTCCCACTAGTTATCTTACAGCGGATGCGTCTAGTTTCTGTGTCTGGGCACTAGTTACCTGAGTACGTTACATTGATGTTTCAATAGCGAGAGATGTGATTTATTGACGACTTGGCAACTATCGCCTAAGGCGTCCTGGCACCACGAGGGCAGGCCTTGACTACACACGAATTTCACTTATTTTTCCTTTAACACAAACGGTCGGATGGTAATCACTATGATATATTGGTTAATATGTTGAGACACACTTTAAAAGTTATCTGACTGTGTTTAGTTCCTGTATCACTGAAATGTCCCTAGATATACATTGTTTTCCGCGGAGCTCGCACCGCGTGGCCCTTCCCCTCTCACACCCAAAACAAACCACCATACACTGGCACAACCATACACTAGTTCCCTTGTCTCATCCAAAGAGCGAATCAGAGGGAGGTACATAGTGCCTGAACCACTCACAGTCTCTCCTTGGGTGGCGTGATACCTCTGACGTTTGGATCGTTTAGTGTGATCTCTGTGTAATCGTTGGAAAAGGTCTGTCGACCACAAGCTCTGCTTGTACCACGCCACTCTAAAACGGGATTCCCAAAACTTAGAGTTAGCTTAGTGTAATACTTATTACAATGGGTGTAATTTCCTTATCAAAATTGCTACGGTGGCCACCGTGCTACTTTCTGACAGCTAGAGTCATGCACTGTCCATAGACACCCAACAATGTACACCTACAGTACTTGCAAATGAAGTTAGCTTTGGTGCACTCTCTGTGCACTCATGAGAGAAGAGTCAAAATGCCGGTGCGCACTCGAGCAACGCTCACCTTTCTGCTCACCATTCCCACCATTCCGGACCACGAACCATCGTCCTGTTTTGAGCCAAATGATCCGTCAGCGGTGCTCACGTACTTGTACCTGAAAAATTAGATTACATATTTGAGTTTTCGTTATTTGAGCAAAATGATCCAACACATTAGAACTGTTGTGTAAACATGTATACATATACGAATACATGCATATATACATACGTATACATAGTAGTAGGCATCCTGTAGTCTCGGAAGACTATGGAAATGCGCTCTGGTTGCCGAGGCTGGAGTGTCCTCACTAGGGTGCAAAGCCAGGGGTAGGTCGAAATGGAGGAGAAGCTGTTACCCATGCAGCAGCCCCCCCCCCCCCATCTCTACATTGATGAAATTGTCTGAAATTGTCCATACAGTCCCCAGAGCTCAAAGAGGCAGCTAAGAGCCTTTGCGAGAACAAGGAGATAGTCGTCAGGAGAGGTGACAAGTCGCCAATACAAGTTATTCTTAAAAAAAGACGAATATCTGGCAAAAATAAACCTCATACTCTCTGACCAAACTAAATTCCAAACGGTAACGAAGGACACTACAGCTGAATTGAAAACAAAGGTAAACAGATTGATCGAAACTGTGAACGCCAAGAAATCCGGACTCCACTTGCCAAAGGTTATTGGGAATATAAACTTGGGTATGCATTTGGAAATGTCAAGACTCACAAGCCTGAAACCTACTTCGGGCAATCATCAGCCAGATGCCCACACCCACGTACAGACTGGCTTAGCGACTCAATGGCTAGCTGACTCCTTATGTACCTTGTGCTTTCAGCCTGAAGTCTCCAAAGGAATTTGTTGACTTACTGCGGGGAACACAGGCCACAGGGATAAGAGCCTCTTTGGGCGTAGAATCACTGTTTACCAACGTACTTGTGGATGAAATAATCGGAATGATGTAGGACAGAGTGTATCGTGATCTGGCTTGTACTCCTCTTGACATACCAGAAAACTACACCATACTTGTACTAAAGAGGCACCCTTCTTGAGCCCAAATGGGCACATGTATAAGCAAGTAGATGGGGTTGGCATGGGTTTTCCCCTAGGTGTCCTGTTTGCAAACTTCTACATGGGTACAATCGAGCAGAAGGTCTTAGTTGACATGGACTTGAAACCTGCCATATACTGCAAATATGTTGATGACATTTTGACACAGGTACCTGATGTCAGATGTCTGAAGGAGCTGAAGGAGGTATTTGAGCGGAATTCTGTGTTGAGTTTCACTTACGAAATGGAGAAGGATGGGAAGCCGCCCTTTCTAGATGTAACAGTCATGGAAAGGAGTGGAGGCTTCCACATTGCAGTCTACACTAAGGAAACTAACATAGAAATGTGCCTCAATTCCAATAGTGACTGCCCAGACAGGTACAAGAGGAGTGTTGTCAACGCTTACATCGACCGTGGTCTCAGCCACAGCTCAGGATGGAAGCAAGTTGATGAAGAACTCTGTAGGGTAAGGTAGGTCCTAGTCAACAACGGCTTCTCTAATGGTTTTGTCGAAGACTTCATAAAAAGAAAGGTAAAACGCCATGCAACCTCTGAAGAGTCAATTAACACAACACATATATCCCCTATTAGACTATTTTACAAGAACTTCTTTTTGACAGCTCATAAAAAGATCCTGAAAGATATTGTTGATAGGAACGTTATCCCTCCAGACAAAAATCAGAAAATACAATTGACAATTTACTATAAAACCAAAAAAAAAAAAACGCCAACCTACTCATGAAAAACTCTCCAGACACAAAGCAGAACGCCTTGAAGGAAACCAACATTGTCTGAGCCTTCAAATGCCCACTTGGTGATTATAAGTTCCAAAGAACTCAGTATATAGGCAAGACAACAACGTCCCTTTTTAAGCAATTAACAATGCGTAAACAACAGGGCTCCATAAAGGAACATATAATCTCCTCTTACAACCAGACCATCACCAGAGAAATCTTAACAAACAACACAGAAATCATCGATGGATACAGCGATAGCAGGCGGCTTGACATCTGCGAGGCACTACACATCAAAAAGTCAACACCAGCAATCAACAGCCAATTAATGCCCAACTATATTCTACCCACTTCAAGACTCCGAACAAATATAGAAGCATCAAGAGGAAGTATGGGCCAAAGGCCCTCTGCAGTTACTTCCATTCTTATGTTCTCATATCCAATTATATCCATAGTTTTGTGTTTTGTCTTGTGTTTGTCACAAGTTTGTTCACCTCACCCAAATGCGAGTATAAGTATGACGGATTAGCGTGTTTACAGGTTACAGTTGTGAGTGTAAACTAAAGTCCTTGAAAATGTAATAAGAAATTACGAAACACGGTCAGGCGTCGCGTCAGACTAGAAATAAAAAGGACTTTTGAGAATTGATTTTTCAATTACCATTGACAGTGAAAAGAAACATAAGAAATATTGAGAAAATTCGTGTTAGATTTATTAATCTTACCTTTTCGGGCATATTTAACTACATATGTTTACAAGAAAGACTGCTACTAAAATATACTAGGAATTTTGAAATTTATTAGGAATTAGGAATTCCTAATAAACATTAGGAATTCTCTAATGCGCCATCATTATAAAATTCACTATTTTTATAGCTCCTATAAGTACACAACATAATTTATCCTGTACAGCCTGGTACTCTGTAAATATATTAATTAACTAGCAGTACCCTTCCATGCGTTGGTGTGGCTCAACTACGCATGTGCGTTGCTGAGCCACAGCAACCTTCCCTGTCTCCCAGTCCTCCCCACCATCCCACCTTACCCGTCCCCTCTTCCTTCCCACCATGCCTCACTCCCCGGTCCCTTTGCCCTCCCCACCGTTCTCCATTCCCCCATCCCCTCGTCCCCGCCATCCCAAACTCCCCCATACCCTCGTCCTTCCCCACCATTACCCCCTTCCTCTGTCCCCTTGTCCAACCCACCATCTCTCACTTCCATCCCCACTATTCCCCACGCCCTCGTCTGATGGTTTCCCAAATGGTCCGATGTTCCCATCAGAAAATTAAGAACATCAAGTGATCTGATGTTCCCAGCAGGGCAGTGCTCATCAAGTGACCATGAGCTAAGCGAGTATGGCCAATACACAACCTCGCTAGAGACGTTTCCCATTGCCGGTTACGGTGGTAGGAGGACGGCCACGAGGACACACAACTCTTAAGAGTACGCAGTTTGTTACCAGTAACAGAAGACCAACAAGCCTGCCAACGGGTAAGAATGGTGGAATGGATAACCGGGTAAAAGTCAGAATAAGGAATACCTTTATGAGAGATGGGACAAGAGCGGACAGCTTCCCTGGCAGCAGCATCCGCATGCTCATTGAAAGAGACACCAATATGGCTGGGAACCCAACAAAACTCAACCGACTTAAATTTACTGTGAACAAGAAACAGCCAATGCTGGATCTCGACAACCACTGGATGAACCGAATTAAAGGACCAGAGAGCCATGAGGGCACTATGAGGGTCAACAACAACTACAAAGGAAGATTGATAACGAGAAAGCAGGAAACGAAGAGCATAGAGAATAACAAAGTTCCGCTGTGAAGATGCTAGTCTCCGGAGGTAAGCGACACATATAAATGCGATCAGGAAAAACAACAGAGTAGCCTACACCGTCCGCGACTTAGACCCATCGGTGAAGACGGAAACGGAGCGGGAGTGAGAAGAAAAGTGCTCAAGGAAAAGGCGTTTTAGACCCATAGGAGGGGTAAAAGCTTTAGTGATGTGGGTTAAGGATGTACAAAACTGCGGAAGGGGGACTCTCCACGGGGGCAAAGAAGGAACAACCCGAGAAGAAATATTAAATATACGAACTGAAAGAGAATCCTGTAAGTGAGGTAACCGGACAGAAAGAGGGAGGTGGTGAAGAGGAACAGGAACCGCAGGAGGGACAAAAGTTAAAGCATGATAGAGGCGAGAGGAAGGATGTTGCAAGGAACGCACAAGATAGCGAAGGCAGTAGCGATCACGGCGGTCCTGGAGCGACAGGAAGCTAGTGTCAACATATAAGCTGAGAACGGGAGTCGAACGAAAGGCACCAGAACTAAGGCTCAACCCAGTATGGTACAAAGCATCAAGACGGCGAAGAGTAGAAGGATAAGCAGACGAGTAAGCAGGGCAACCATAATCGAGCTTAGACAAGACGAGAGAGGAATGTAAAGCAAGTAGAGTGCGCGTATCCGCTCCACAAAAAGTATGGGACAATACCCGAAGGAGGGTAAGGGGCCTTAGAGCATTCAACACGGATGTAAGAGATATGGGACGACCAAGACAAACGAGTGTCAATAATCAACCCCCAAAAGCTTAGCAGAGTCCTTGTACACAATGGGGTGACCATAAAGCGACAAAGAAGGACGAAGAATGACATGCTTCCGAGTAAAAGTCATGGCATAAGTCTTAGACGTAGAGAACCGGAAGCCATTTTCGGTGGCCCAAGACAACACGGCATCAATTGCAAGTTGAAGCCGGCGTTGAAGGAGAGGCGAATCATCACCTCGACAGCAAAGGTCAGATCGTCGGCATAGAGAACGGAGAAGACGCCTGAAGGAAAAGAGGAAAGAAGACCATTGAGGACAACCAGAAAAAGAGTAGTACTCAGAACACTACCCTGGGGCACTAGGTGATCAGTAATCACCCAATCTCTGATCGATCAGAGTATATCTCGCAACAAGCTTTCTCTGTGTTTGAATCCAACGAGATTGTGGAAAATTTAAGCTGTCAGTTCATGGAAAAGTGACAGGTCTTAACCTTCGAGGATCACGTCACTAGTGACTGACCGACGAGTGTATGTGTGGACGTTATTATGAACAGATTTGAGATAGGATTTGTTACCCTCTGTTACAGAAAATATTGGGATTGATTAATTACTATGGCGTTAATTAACTAATTGTGATTTTGTGATTTAATGTCTTGGTGAGTGTTAAAGTAAAGTAATTACTTGTTGTCTTAGTGCCAGTTGTTCTTTTACATTCCTTTTACGTGTGTTAATTTGTTGTGTTGTTGAAGTGTTTTGATACTGCCAGTGGCGAGTGCAGAAATTTCCAAGAGTATTTACAAATGGTTCAGTTTTATTTATGACCTGTCCAGTGGGTCGAGACTGTGGTCTCTTTCACACCTGTCAGTGGTGGAAAACCCAACACCATTTACTAATATTAAATACAACAGGCAGATAATATTGTTGCCGAGTTGAATATATAAATTCACACAGAGAAGACGTGGCGCAGTGGAATTTTCCTCCCGTAGAAAACTGAGATATCATTGCTATGTCGTTATTAAATTTACCAGCTATTCTGCTGGGAATTATTCCTAATACAGCAGTCTTTGGGCTGTTAACATCATAAAACATTTCACTTGAATTAACTTATTTATTTGTACCAAAATAGAGTAAATGTAACTTTTCTAACACTTCCTGACACACCTGGAGAACAGGGGCATCAATGGGAGGGAGGCCAGTAGTCAGCCATTGTTTATCAACAAGGTCGTTGGAGCGAGTCTACCTCCTAGAATTCTCTCTGGGACAGTTGTGTCACAAGAGAAAAGTGCTTCTGTCATCGACTCACAACTACGTCTACTTTAAGTGAAGTGTACAACAGAAATCCGTTTATTATCATTACATTCCTGGCCAGTTATGTTCGGTATATAGGGTGAACCGGTTAGCACACACGAAAGCGCCCAACACAGAGTGAGTAATATCTCATCTCTTTATTTAAATTGGCAATATTTCCTCTGTTATAGCTGCCATATATTTATATAGGACTACTGCTGTTATTGCAAGCGCCCTTTGACAGGAACAATTGAAGAGGAAGCAAGAATTAATCCTAGTAATCCAGTACATTAGTTGAGGGCCAGCCACACCCACAAGGTGTATAGACTGGCTTGTTCATTCGTGTTCTTACTGGATGTCTAGGACAAAATAAGCCATAAAAGATAAGGCCTTCTAATTTTATTTACTAATGTATGTAGTTTAATACTCTAGTTTGATTGACTGCGTATATAAACGATATAACCCTTCCCCCTAATGTGCAAGGAGATCGATTTGTGAGAATTTGCAGAAATACAATCTGCTAAACATCATAAAACTGATATCGAAATATATAAATCTCACAGGTCGGTTTCCCACAGAGTTGTGGGAATGGGTTCCTGCTGCGAGGTGTTTTAACAGTTGTTGAGGTCACACTCTTGAATAACATAACTAACGTAGGTCACTGTGTATTAGTAAGTTGTTGAATCAATTTATTTTGTATACATGTGCCTTTGATGTCATTCCTCATTCTGAAATACTGCCCCCAAATTTCATCTAAATTGCTACTTGACATTGTCATTAATTTGAGTTGGCTCTGGATCAAGCCCAGAGCCTCAAGCACTGAATATAAATTCTATGTGAGAACCCGGGGGGCCGGCCGGCCGAGCGGACAGCACACTGAGCACGTGATCCTGTACTCACCTAGTTTTGTTTGCGGGGGTTGAGCTCTGGCTCTTTGGTCCCGCCTCTCAACCGTCAATCAACAGGTGTACAGATTCCTGAGCCTATTGGGCTCTATCATATCTACACTTGAAACTGTGTATGGAGTCAGCCTCCACCACATCACTTCCTAATGCATTCCATTTGTCAACCACTCTGACACTAAAAAAGTTATTTCTAATATCTCTGTGGCTCATTTGGGCACCCAGTTTCCACCTGTGTCCCCGTGTGCGTGTGCCCCTTGTGTTAAATAGCCTGTCTTTATCTACCCTATCAATTCCCTTGAGAATCTTGAATGTGGTGATCATGTCCCCCCTTACTCTTCTGTCTTCCAACGAAGTGAGGTTTAATTCCAGTAGTCTCTCCTCGTAGCTCATGCCTCTCAGCTCGGGTACTAGTCTGGTGGCAAACCTTTGAACCTTTTCCAGTTTAGTCTTATCCTTGACTAGATATGGACTCCATGCTGGGGCTGCATACTCCAGGATTGGCCAGACATATGTGGTATACAAAGTTCTGAATGATTCTTTACACAAGTTTCTGAATGCCGTTCGTATGTTGGCCAGCCTGGCATATGCCGCTGATGTTATCCTCTTGATATGTGCTGCAGGAGACAGGTCTGGCGTGATATCAACCCCCAAGTCTTTTTTTTCTGTCTCCTGAAGAATTTCCTCTCCCAGATGATACCTTGAATCTGGCCTCCTGCTCCCTACAACTATCTTCATTACATTACATTTGGTTGGGTTAAACTCTAACAACCATTTGTTCGACCATTCCTTCAGCTTGTCTAGGTCTTCTTGAAGCCTCAAACAGTCCTCTTCTGCTTTAATCCTTCTCATAATTTTGGCATCGTCCGCAAACATGTGGTCCTGGGTTCGATCCCGGGCGCCGGCGAGAAACGATGGGCAGAGTTTCTTTCACCCTATGCCCCTGTTACCTAGCAGTAAATAGGTACCTGGGAGTTAGTCAGCTGTCACGGGCTGCTTCCTGGGGGTGGAGGCCTGGTCGAGGACACTAAAGCCCCGAAATCAACTCAAGATAACCTCAAGATAACCCATGCGCTACCTGCTATATTTGCTTCGTTGCAAGAAAGTTGTAGAGTGAACGACTAACATAGCGGTCTGGTATTGCTTGTACAGTAGAAGACCGTCCTGGCCTTCATCTGTACCTGGTGTACCTGGACCTTGGCGTCCTGCTCACGCCTCCGGGGACGTATTCATTTGTTTGTCACTTGGCTGTTGTGACTACTGCAAAGTGACCTCTTGCAGCATGGCGCCCATTGGTGTTGGTGCAGTTGCATGCAATTGCAGGTTGTTGCAGGGAGCAACAATAGCCAAGGCAAACATTCTAATCCACACCCCCAATAACGGGTTCACTCACATTCTGGCGCCCAGTGCGAGGCTAAGAGTTCTGGCACCCAGCACGGTGCTAAGAGTTCTGTGTGTAAGTGTTGCTCATCATTACATACATGTACGGGTGAGCATCATGTGTCCTTACTCGTGTTCACGTACATACATGTACGGGTGAGCATCATGTGTCCTTACTCGTGTTCACTTACGTACACGCACTGATGAGTGCCATGTTTCCTTACCATTGTTCAAGTACGTACATATACTGATGAGTGTCGGTATGAGTGCATATATATAAGTGTGAAATATAGTTAATATATTGAGCATATTCAGGACTTAGGTCTTACGTAAAGTTGAGTCCTTGTGCGAGATAAAGCATCATATAATCTTTGCTTCCTCCGTCACTCTTGACTTTGGTCACTTCGCGGGAGTTCAGCGCCTCCGTTGCCGCCACCAACTGTGGCCGCCGAAGGAACCTGACGGATGGAAGGTTGTTAGTAATATTAAATGACATATTACTAGCCAACCATGCACGTGTGCTGGTCGTACGAGCTGCGTCGCCTCGTGGTTGAACAATACTGGCGTCAGGACATGTGTCGTGCAGCACCAAATAATTCGTAGCTGTTATCTCCTTCACTTTAATTTCACCTGTGAATTAAGTCCATAGCAGTAAACACAACAACTATACGATACATATATCGTACCTAGTATAAAGTGTTGACACCTTTGTCTAGATTCTAGACAAAGGTGGTTTTATCTAGATGACTCAAGCATACCCATTTCGGTGACTTGCCCTACGTCTTAATCGATTAACTAACTGCTGATTCTACCCACAATTACTTATCTGTCAACCAGGTATAGAACACTTCCCCATGACTAGCGAAGTCCGTGTTTGATAATAGGTGAATCTAGCATCACACAACACTATGGTTCGTAGGAAGTTTTTTGAGAATTCGCGTAAGCGTGTTCACTGGGCTAAGCTTGATGTTAATGGTGGTTCCTTTCCTTCCCCGGTCTAGGAACGCGTCCACTAGCACGGTTCTAAATCTGTCTTGATTGACTTCGGGGAGGAAACTTTGGTTTTATTGACGTTTTAATTATATCCATTCATTGGGTAACACGTTTTTATTATTTCTATTGCCCAGACTGGTGTAGTTAAGATTATATGAGATACGTATTATGAATCAACAGAGATACAGATTACATGGCAAAAGTCATATCATCTGGCAAAAGCCCAATATCCGAGTTCCTTTGAATTATTCACTTAGGTAAATTAGTGGTTAGTTAATGTTAGTATTTGCCTAACATACAGCGTTTGCTTGGTATGCTAGGTGTTTGTATTTAATGTCGGAATTTCCGACAGAAGTAGGAAACCTAAACAAGGACCAAAAAGCAATAGGTTGGCATACCAAAAGGAAACTATGATGCAATATGTACACTTTGTATAATATGTGTACAAAATAGTACACTATGGGAAACAGAGCTCAAATAAAAGTATGTACAAGACACAATGACAAGGCAGTTATTGACGCACCTGTTGACACCCACAAGTGTCAGGAGGCAGAAGACAGGTTCATTCCGGCCCAAAAAGAAAACAATAAAAATCAAAAGGGAAATCCGTGGTTCAATCAGGCATGTAAGGAAGCAAGGCAGCTAAGTACAAGGGCATGGAGTACAACAAGTTTAAGTGGAGGCTAAGTACAACTAATGGAATAAGAGAATACCAGAGCAGAGAGAGATGTTCTTAGACGAAATTTAAGGATAATAACTAACCTGGTGTATTTGTCTGGGAAGAACGGCAGGCTGGAGGCTAGCACGAAGCCTCGCTGCGGCGTCCAGGTAGCCAGCCGTTCAGGCAGGTCTTCCCGGGAGGTGTAGGGCAGGTACACAAACAACCTGCACCTGTCAGTCCAATCTTTGGTGCATTTTGCCACCATTATATGCAAGCAATTTTAAATAACATTTATGCACACTATGAATAGGACAGTAAGGGCTATAAACCATTCAAAAGCTAAGAAAATATTCACAAAATATGAATCAGTACCTGAGCATTCTGGGAATGTCTTCAGCAATGAGTAAGATGGAGTTGGTGGAGGAGAGGAGCCCGTGGAGGACCTGGAGGTGGTGGAGGGGCAGACGGGTGACGACCAGGAGCCTGGTGGACCACACCAGGAGGCGACCCTTGAGGGACCACTGGGCGAAGGTGGAGAGGAAGGCCAGGTCGTCACTCACCACCACCACTGTCACGCACCATGACACCTGCCGCACCTGTTGACACCAACACCACCGTCACGCACCACGACACCTGCCGCACCTGTTGACACCAACACCACTGTCACGCACCACGACACCTGCCGCACCTGTTGACACCAACACCACCGTCACGCACCACGACACTTGCCACACCTGTTGACACCAACACCACTGTCACGCACCACGACACCTGCCGCACCTGTTGACACTAACACCACCGTCACGCACCACGACACTTGCCACACCTGTTGACACCAACACCACTGTCACGCACCACGAAACTGCCTCACCTGTTGACACCACCACCACTGTCACGCACCACAACACCTGCCCCACCTGTTGACACCAACACCACCGTGTTGGTGTCAACATGATGTCACAAAAATGGTGTCACAAAAATGTCTTTGATAAAAACGTGCATAGAATGCAACATGAAGGTAGATTACCAACAGAGCTTTCAATGCCAACTCTGTTCAGCAGCCATATACTAAAAATGTGCTAACATGACTAATAATTCAAGGAGAAATGGTCCCAGTGACCACTCTGTATACTGGCTCTGCATAAAGGATGATCTAACTTTTTTGAAGATGATGGAAATCCTGGATAAAACTCCCGCTGAAAACAGAGAATTACTAATTAATGCCTGCATAGCAATTTCTAATGTCTTCAAACAAACTGTACATAACACCAAGGTACAACCAGATGCGGCACAGAGCTCGGTGGCAGCGGCGCCTGAGCAGAGCAGGGAGTCAAGGACGCCTGAGCAGAGTGGGGGGTCGGGGACGCCTGAGCAGAGCGCGGAGTCGAGGACGCCTGAGCAGAGCGAGGAGTTGGGGACGCCTGAGCAGAGCGGGGAGTCGAGGACGCCTGAGCAGAGCGGGGAGTAGGGGACGCCTGAGCAGAGCGGGGAGTCGGGGACGCCTGAACAGAGCGGGGAGTCGAGGACGCCTGAGCAGAGCGAGGAGTCGGGGACCCCTGAGCATAGCGCGGTGTCAATGGCGCCGGAGTAAAGCGCGGTGTCGCGGGCACCGGAGCAGAGCGCAGTGGCGATGGTACCGGAGCAGAGTGCAGTGTCACAGGCCCTGGAGCAGAGCACAGTGTCGGGGACGCCGCAGCAGAGTACGGTCCATGGCAAAGAGAAACAAACAAAACAAGGACCCAAAACCTGTTGGTATTACAAATGGTATATCGGGAAGAACAAATGGAGCATGTAAGTACGATCACCCTAGAAAGTGCAGAAACCTCCTCAATACAGGTAAATGTACCAAAAGCTGTGAATTATTTCCCCCAGAAATTTGCAAGAACTCTTTAGACAGGAAAGAGTGCTTCAATGCTGAATGCCCAGCTTTTCATATAAGAGGTACCAGGCGAATAAAACCGACAGACCGCCACTATGAAAACAGCCACTACTCCATCGACCGGGATAATTTTTTAACAAGAGGAGGAGAAGAATGGCTAAAAATGACCAGACTCTACCACCAACTCGGTCAAATGCTAGAGAGGACGCAAACACAGTGGCCTCCTAACCAGAGCCTCAGATATTAACACCAAGTAAAGCATCCGGCACTTCCACTAACACGATAACATCATTTATATTTGCCAACATCCAGGGTATAAAAACACGCAAATCCAACAAAATTCACTTTATAGATGGTCTCCTTCATGAGGCAAATGCAGTGTTTGCAGCCCTAACGGAAACTCACACAAAGGACTACCTTGATGGTGAAATATGGATCTCAGAGTACAATCTTTTCAGATGTGATAGGAAACACTGGCATCAGGTTGGTATCAGCCTCTACATCAAAGACACACTCATCTGTACTGAGCTGCTAAACACCTCAAATGATATGGTGGAAGTGATGATAGTCAAAATAGAGATCCTAAATGTAGTTGTTGTCCTTGTATATAAGTCACCGGAGGCAAACCCTCAGCAGTTTAAAGACCAACTAATGAAAATAGAACACTGCTTGGAAAACCTCACAAATCCAGCTCCGAACATCATCCTGCTTGGGGACTTCAACCTACGGCACCTGAAAGGGAAGCACCTGGCTAATACAGTAATATCAGAAGAAATACCAGAAAGTAGCCTAAATGAACAGGCACATGCAAATGACCTGCTACGGATGTGCGACAGGTTTGCCTTAAACCAACAAATAGTAGAACCAACTAGGAAGGAGAACACGCTGGACCTCATTTTCCCTAATAATAATGAATTGATCAGGAACATAATGATTACAAATACCTGTTACTCAGATAACAACTTAATTGAAGTTCTGACAACCATGTGGAATAGACCTTCAAAACAGTCCTGATTCCCGGTGGAGGAGATTTCAGCAAATTCAACTTCAATAATAAACAGATAAACTGGGAGCAAATAAACCAGGACTTCACAGAAATAAACTGGGAAGAACAGCTAGAAAATGCAAACCTGAACTAGTGCCTGGAAAAAATAAGCTCAGTAGCACTAGAAATATGTTCAAAGCGCATACTCCTAAGAAAAAAGAGAAAGGTATGCAGATTGGAACGGGAACGTCGTTCCCTATATAGGCGAAGAAAACGAATCGCGGAACAACTTGAGAGTCGCACCCTATCTCAAGAACGGCGAAGAAGGTTAGGTAGAGAAATACAAACAATTGAACTCAAGCTACAAAAATCATACAAAACCCAGGAGAGGCAAAGAGAGTAAAAGGCCATCAGTGAAATAGAGAGAAATCCGAAATATTTTTTCTCCTATGCACCGATGACAACAAAGAAATGAGCGAATTACTGAGGAAGCAGTACGACTCTGTTTTCAGCGAGCCACTAAATGCACTAAAGATTGATAACCCAAATGAATTTTTCATGGATATGATACCAACATCAAATCATATATCAGACGTCACCCTACCCCTCACTGGATTTTGGAGAAGCCATAAACAGTATGCCTATGCACTCTGCACCAGGCCCGGACTCTTGGAACTCCATATTCATCAAGAACTGTAAAAAAACACTATCGCAGGCCCTTCACATTCTGTGGAGACTAAGCCTAGATACTGGCGTTATCCCTGACATACTAAAAACAGCAGAGATAGCACCACTCCATAAAGGAGGAAATAAGGCAGAGGCAAAAAATTACAGACCAATAGCACTAACATCCCACATCATAAAAAATTTTGAGAGAGTGCTAAGAAGTAAGATCACAAAATACATGGAATCACAGCATCTCCATAACCCCGGGCAACATGGTTTCAGGACAGGGCGCTCTTGCCTGTTGCAGTTGCTGGACCACTATGATATGGCATTAGATGCTATGAAAGACAAACAAAACGCTGATGTAATTTACACAGATTTCGCAAGAGCTTTTGATAAGAGTGACCATGGTGTTATTGCACATAAAATGCGTTCAAAAGGAATTACCGGAAAAATAGGCAGATGGATCTACAATTTCCTGACTAACAGAACCCAATGTGTAATAGTCAACAAAATAAAATCCAGCCCATCAACCGTGAAGAGCTCAGTCCCCCAGGGTACTGTGCTTCCTCCAGTACTTTTTCTCATCCTCATATTGGGCATAGACAAGAACACAACCTATAGCACTGTATCATCCTTTGCAGATGACACTAGGATTTTCATGAGAGTAGGCAACATAAAGGACACGGCGAACCTCCAATCAGATGTAGATCAGGTCTTTCTATGGACTACAGAAAATAATATGGTGTTTAACGAAGATAAGTTCCAGCTCATGTGCTACGGAAAAAAAGGAAAATATAAAAACGGAAACCACGTTCAAAACTCTGGCAAATCATAACATAGAACGAAAAGGCAATGTAAAGGATCTGGGTGTACTCATGTCGGAAGACCTTACCTTTAAAGAACACAATAAAGTAGCCGTCACAACTGCAAGAAAAATGACAGGTTGGATAACAAGAACTTTTCACACAAGAGATGCTATACCGATGATGATACTTTTCAAAACGCTTGTGCTCTCTAGAGTGGAGTACTGCTGCACAATGACAGCCCCTTTCAAAGCCGGAGAAATTGCTGACCTGGAGAGCGTGCAGAGATCTTTTACTGCCAGAATCCACTCAGTAAAACATCTAAATTACTGGGACCGACTAAAGAGAAATACTGCCTATATACTACCTCCTGCCTAAATACTACCGCCTGCCACACCTGTTGACACCAACACCACTGTCACGCACCACCACACCTGACGCACCTGTTGACACCAACATTACTGTCACGCACCACCACACCTGCCGCACCTGTTGACACCAACACCACTGTCCGCACCATGACACCTGCCACACCTGTTGACACCAACACCACTGTCACGCACCATGACACCTGCCGCACCTGTTGACACCAACACCACTGTCACGCACCACGACACCTGCCGCACCTGTTGACACCAACACCACTGTCACGCACCACGACACCTGCCGCACCTGTTGACACCAACACCACTGTCACGCACCACGACACCTGCCGCACCTGTTGACACCAACACCACTGTCACGCACATCGACACCTGCCACACCTGTTGACACCAACACCACTGTCACGCACCACCACACCTGACGCACCTGTTGACACCAACATTACTGTCACGCACCACGACACCTGCCACACCTGTTGACACCAACATTACTGTCACGCACCACGACACCTGCCACACCTGTTGACACCAACATTACTGTCACGCACCACGACACCTGCCACACCTGTTGACACCACTGTCACGCACCACGACACCTGCCACACCTGTTGACACCAACATTACTGTCACGCACCACGACGCCTGCCGCACCTGTTTATGTTAACACCACCACCATGCACCGTGACACCTGCTCCACCTGTTCACGTCAACACCGCCACTATGCACCATAAAATCTGTTGTCGGAAATTTCCGACACCCCAAATACTGACCCTTGACACAATAAGATAAAATCCGTTGTGTTAAGACTCTAATTTAACTAACCGTACTAATAATCTAATTATTGAGAGTTTAGAAGTTCTAGAACATGCAAATGGAT